GGTTCTCCACGCGCACTGCCAGGGAGACTTGACTGAAAGTGCCCTGGCCCAATTGACGCAGCTTGCGATACTTTCGCGGTTGATCAGTGCGGATGGAGCGCACTGAATAAAACTCCTCCGACGCATCAGGCGACGGAGACTGAAGAATGACGGGTTCAACGTCGCCCGCTTCATTACCCCTGCTTCGGGGCGGAGTAGGGGGCCGCACGGTGGGTAAAGCAATGCCCCGCTGAATGGCCAGATATTCTTCGCGATGGAGGTTGGTTGATTTCGAATCAGTACTTACCGATGAAATCATACTCTGGGGTAAACCGGCTCCTGACACCGCGATTGGACGTGGCTTGATGGGCACACTTCGACCAGGGGGCACATACTCGCTGAGACTGCGATTGCGTGTATGTTTGTGCACCTGCTCTTGGCGACCCTTATCGGGTGACTCTGGAAACATTTCTGCAGCGGCTTTTCCCAAGGCCGGATATTGTTTGCTGCGCGATCGCGACTCGGCCGGCGCCAGCATCTGTGAAGAGTCACTGAGACGCAAGCTGAGGCTGGACCCGTTCCGTGACATGGCTGAAGGGGTGCGTGATAAGGATTGTGAGCCGCGCCGATGTCTCCAAGGAGTCACCCCACCAATCGGCGATGGCAGCGGCGTGATCTCGCCCATTGCCACTAATTGGGGAGATGATATTGACGCTGGTGAAAGCCCCTCATTAGGGGCCGAGCTAGCGAGAACCGCGCGAAGACTTGGGGTGCGCCGGGGAATACTTCCAGGCGAGAGGCTTTGATTTAAGAAGGGGTCATTCTCCTTGAGAGCGTCCATTGATACTGGTTCTGCGATATCCGTGCGAATATGAAGTGATGGTAGGCCGTGGTGGTGGTGCTGGTTTGCATTCGCTGGATCATGGTCTTTATATACCAGCGTCGAGTAACTCCTCCCGTCGCCATGGGTCAAGGATGGCGTAGTATTCGTCGCATTGTCAGTTGAAAGCGTTGTCGCATCGGCTTCGTGTAACCGGGGGAACTGGGTCAAAGGTAAAGATTGTGACCTGCCGGTCCACTGGCTCGAATCCGAGTCACTCATCGAAGAAATAAGAAAACCCCAGACTTTTTCTGGTTTTCTCAAAAAGTGTTTTTCTTTGTTACTGATTCTCACCGTGGGTTGCTCTTTGTCGCGCCGCTGAAGTGTCTGAACCAGACAGGAAAGATTGGTGTTTAGTAGTTGCGGGTGAGACCGGGCGCTTGGTTAGAGAATGTGACAGCCCCGGCGAACTATCATATCAAGCTTTAAGCAAATCAAGTCGTGCTTGGCAGATAATGAGCGCCCTAAGGCCCGGAGGTTTCAGGCGAAGATAAGGAACCCAGGGAATCCTTTATGGCTTTAGTCCGACCATGCAAGCGCTCGAAATTCGGAGGGATGAAGGAGAGAAAGGACGATGATGAAGGTCATCCAGAAGCCGGGCAGATAGACGAACACTAGGACACTAACGCGTCCATCTAATAAACTAATGATCTAATAATAATCTAACAGGAACATACTGGTCGTTAGCAGGAGCAGCTACTGCAAATGGTAGTTGATTGATGACGCCGCAGAAAAATCCATGCGGGGTCAGCTGATGGCCCATTCTGGATCTAGACTAGTCCTGTTGGACCAAAAGGGCAACTACCCCGCATTCAGTAAGGCTTGGGCTGTATGCGGTTAGCCATTATCAGGTACAGAGGAAGGCGTCGTCTTAATTAGGCAGTCAAAGTATTGGAACTACTCTGTAAAGAGTCCAAAAAAAAATGGAAATAGAGAATGGATTACATATCTGTCTCCAGAGCTGTCTGTAAACCCTCTTAATCCCAGTGTTGAGAATATTGATTTATATTCCAATGTTCTCAGCTGCAGAGGTTGCGAGGATCTCTTTGTGGAGTAAGCAGTTACTAACAGAGGACTGTGCCTTGCATATTAAGAATGAGGGGAGTCCTAGGGTTTACAGTCTGTGGTCTGTGCAGATTTAGCCTTCCAATTGCTTTCTTTGCCTTGAGAAGAGTCCACAACAAAGGGTCTCTCGTATTCTTTCCCAAAGTGGTCTGAGCCTATAGGTAAGGTAGTACGTTCCTAAAACGGAAGGCACATGGTTGCCTAAGAAGATCGCATGCATCTGTCTAGCATGAGGTAGTGGCGGATACGAACTCTGTCTTGTTTGATAACAGACAACCCAGATGTAATTAGTCAGACATACTATGCTTCATCAAAATTCCAAGTGTTCATCTCTGCCAAAGTAAGTCATCGTGCCCCCTGGTGGTCAGTCTTCCAGAGAACCAGAAGCCTTTCTGCTCAGCCTCCTCTGTTCTGTAAAACTAGCTGCAACTCTATCCACACTGACCTGGCTCATCTGCTGGAGCTAATGCACTACAGCATTCTTAATTTTCTAAAGTTGATCGCCAAGACTACACTACTGAATTGTCAGATCATCAGCAATAAGGGACTATTATTGCCATCCGATGATTTTCAGTGCTTCCCAGGAAGGACTGCCACGTTCTCCAGTTGTCGAGGTTCGAGCTGTATGATACCTTACCTTACTGCCTGCCCGTCCAATCAATCGTCAGTCTTTGTCATTGTCCTTGCATGTACGCTCTCCTACTGGCCTCGATCATCCATCACAAGAGGATATCTGATACGGTGTAGAAGGAAGAGATTGGATGAAAATTGCAAATAATGATGCATAATGGCCATGATATTCTGATCAGTTTGTAAGGCAGAAGTCATTTTCCGAAGGTGAGAAGCTGGTACAGGTGGCAAGTTTATGAAAGTTGGGAAGTGTGCATATGATGAAGTTAAGATAGCTCTTCCTTATATCTGCTGACTCTAGGTAGTTTATTGCCATCTGCGCTATTATGATGTGTGTGAAGATGAGTTATATTGAACAACCGAATGCTTTATTTGGTGTGAATGATCCTGTGTGTTTCTATACTCCATTGACCGCTTCATCGAGCTTGAAGCATGCAGCACGCCTTCAGACGGTGCTCTTGAAGCATATCAAATTTGTAGGATGGAGTTTGAGTAGAGAATAAAAACAATGAATCTGCCCCGTGATTCAAAGTGAGACCGAACAGTCTTTATCTGGCTCTCCACAGACCTAATAGTTCATACTTGATAAGAGCTCACCGAAGTAGGTGGCGTTCTTCGGCAAGCCGACATAAGCCCAACCCGAGCTGTATGTGAACTATTCAAAGCGGCTAAGTGGAAAAGCTCTGCAAGGAACAACGCCTGAATAGCAGTCCATAATAGTTCCTATTTCTTCTGAGCTGTTTTTGAACATGTTGCCGGTGTGATACCTTGAGATAGGGGGGTTTGTGGCATTGAATAGAATGACAGAAAGAGCTCCGAAAATAGAAGAAACATCATGGACTGTTAGTAGCATAAAAATTCGGTCATCCAGTTGTAAAGCTATCAGCAGCAGGTCACAAGTAAACCGAATGTGCCTGCCGAGTGTCCAGGTATCGCGTATGTCAAGTTCGGCCGTGCTTAGGGATAGTATGCTTACGACACGAATCATTTTCGTTTCGAGTCTTTTCATTTGAGCTCCTAAATCATCCAATAAGCAGATCAATGCTCTGAAGGAGCCCTGCACAAAGGCTGGAGGTGACTATATGTACAGAAACCGTAAAATATGAAAAAGAAAAACCCATTATCATGCCGGTCCCAACTCACGGATAATGCAAAAAGATGGATACTCTGAGCGCCGGAGTGAAGAGATTTGTGAGGGACGAGAAAGCCGTTCTAATACAGTTTGGAAAAAAATAACAAGGCGAGAATAAAGGAGTATAGTATGAACAGCAACCGCCCGTTTCGCTGAAATAAAGGATGGAGTTTGTGGGTTCTGCGACCTTGCGATGGTTCATTTTAGAGTCGACATGGCTCAAGCGCACAAATTGCAATCGAGTAAAGGTTCGGTTGGCGTTTACAGAAAAGCGCGTCGGATGACCTATGTAATAGTTAGCGAACAATGCCACTAGAAGAAACAAATGAGAATCACGTACAGCCCAGGTACCAGCGATACTAGCCACAATACCACCAGAGATCATCATGGGCTTGAGACCCCTAGTACTCTTGAAGAGCATTCCACTCAAGGCACCTGCAACAATGCTGTTGGCTGAGTCGTGCTTTCCCCGTGCGTAACCCAGGCCCGAGTTGAACCCGTTGTATACCATGGCCACAACACCCGCGGAGTTTCCGAGGAACGGTCCTCTCCTGGTAATCGAGTTGAGAACACCGTTCAGCCGAATCTTAGGCGGCGCTGTAGCTGGTGTACGTCTTAAACCTTCAGCAAGACCCCAAGCACCTCCTATCGTCAGCGCAGTAAGGTAGGTAGTTCCAGTTCCGTAACACAGATCGTCCGACCATCCACGGGATGGCAATACCGATCGCGACCCCGGAATTTCGTCAAGGGCGGAGTCTTCGAGGGTCAGGTAGTCAAGTGTATCTTGGTTCAAGCCAGCAAGAGGATGAAGCTGAGTAGGATCAGGTATGAGAGCTTCGGAGAGGAAGGATGTGGCATCTTGCGCGGTCGAAGGGTCGAATGCCTCGGATCCTTGGGCCTGCTTGCGGCCGCTGATTGAGTCCCAAATCGCCATTTTGACGTAGGAAAATAATTAGATTAAAACACAGATAAGAATGTAAGCAGAAAGTAGAGCGAGGGAAGTAAAGAGTACTACCCCGACAGCGCAACTGGCCTTGATGGCAGGGTTGATTATGACAGACGAGTTAATGGAAGACCGGAGAACAAAAACTTCAGCAGTCACTGATGTCCGTCGCTCACATCGTTTCCGCCGGGCCGGCATCGGGAAAATCCTTGGCCGGCACTACGCCTTTTTGGGAGACCCGCCTCGAAAATCCACAAGAGGCAAATGAGCATAGCAAACGTGGGGAACGGAAATTTTGAGGGTGCGAGTAGGTTCAATTGATCATTATCGGAGATTTTGATAAGCCGCGGTATGCAAATTCAGTAGAGGTCATGCAGGCTTCAGCTGTCTCCAGCGTCTTGGCTGACGGAAGACGCATAGACATGGAGGAGATATCGCAGACTATACAACTTTTATCGGAGGATACTTTGAGCAAAATCTCGAAAGGACCATTGGTGAAATTTACACAGGAATGTGATAACGTTGAGTAAGATAATGCTTTAGGCTCTCTTCTGGACACTCTTTAGTCAAGATTTTCTGACATTGTCATAGCAAGGTGAGCCGGGTATGGCAGAGCTTGTTGAAGACATTTTCCACAGCGTCCATTCCTAGTTCTCATACGACGGCGTCATGTCTTGCTTTAAGTGCGTTCCTTGATGCCGCTTCTGTCTCCAAGCGCGAAGGCACCAGACAGCTTGCTCAGTCACCGGATACGTGGCTCTCCGCATTCGAGGTGTTTATAACTCGATTTGAAGATGCGAAACCCAAGCCGATGAAGCTGGTTATAACATCCTTGGTCAAATTATTGGCCAAAAGTCGGCAAGAACCTAGCTCTCATCTAATACAGGCTGGTCTGGTAGATGCTATCCTTCCTAGTATCATTCTCGGTGAACCGCGTGCGCGACTTAAGGCTTCCCTTCTTTCGCTTGAGGTTATCACACGCAAGAGCGCTATTTTGCCCCACGAGTTGATATCCATGCTCCAAGTGTGGCTGTCGAAAAACAGCGAGAAATGGATATCTCTCCTACAAGAGGATTGCAAAGCCTTATCTATGGATTTCCTCCTGATTTCCGATGAAACTTCCCGCAGCACTAAGAGAGTAGAATCCAGAATTCTTGCTGTCCAGATCCTGCTACTGGGGCTTCTGAATCAGGCGAAGAATCCCGAGCTTGCCTCAAGTGCCGGTGACACTATAGCTGCATTCTTTCAAAAACTCAAGACTGATCCTGGTCTTGCACAGGATGAGCGCGCTCTCCTTTCAGTCTGGATCCCTCCCGTCAGGTATATGGTGCTACAGAACATGGACAATCTGGAGCATATGTCGAATTATGTTCTCCAACCACTCTTCCTCAATGACCCAGCTGGATTTCATTCCTTCTTAGACAGTCTACCTCTCAAGCATGTCTTTGCTGGTGATATGGCTGACGCTGCATTGCCGGAGCTCACTCTTCTGTTCGCCTCTTTACAAGTGGCCAAGAAGACCGGCCTTGTTGACGAAGACTGTGAGTAACGGGTATCGTCAGATTGAATATGGTCGTTGCGTATTAACTGTCTCTTAGATGGCTCTTCTAAACAGGGAACTGGCATGAAACTCTCCCTACCGAGTGAGGTCATTGGACAATTTTTATTCCACCGAGAATTCAGCATCAGAATAGCAGCACTCTCACTACTAATATCAGCACCTGCCACTACAAAACCTCTTTCATCTGCCGCAATCCGTGCAATCCTCAGGGGTTTGCCCTCTATGCACGCTGAGTCTGACCCTTATTCTCGAGGGGAAATCATCAGCTTGATTCGTAAATTGATTGTACGCTTGAAGGGTGGTATATTGGATAACCGGGATGGTTCGAGTCAGGAAGAGCTGTCTACAGACACAAAGCAGCAGGCAAAGTCAGCCCGGAGCGATTCGGAGTCTCGAGCATGTCTCGCAGCCTACATTGGTTTCCTCAAGGCAGACATGCGGCCCACCGCATCTTATCCTCGCCATATCATGGCTCTTAAGACAATTAACCTTTTCCTCCAGTCTGGTCTTGATTCTCGTGTTAAGTTGACCAAGCATGTCAAGATGGAAGAGGATAAAGTTCGCTGGAAGTTCAACATCGAGATATTCGACCTGAGTCTTATCAGATTGCTCGTGGATCTTCTGCTGGACCCGTTTGAGGAGGTGCGAGCCACATCTTTGACCATCCTGAACCTTGCCCCCCGAGACATGCTCTTGGGCAGCCATCTAAAATCTGTAGACCGATCATCGGCCATGTCATTGCGACTGACCGATGCCCTGACAAAAGCCGAGCAATTGGCCAGCAATACCAGCAGAGCTGACCATGCCGATACCGTCGCCCGACTATACCATATCATATTCTGTGCCGCAGCTGAGACTCATTCGGGAGGCGATTCACAATGGTGGGAAACCAAGAAGGGAGTGGTTGATCTGCTTCTGAAAAAGCTTGAGGGCAAAGTTTCCAATCCTGGTGGTCTTTTTACCACCTCGATGCGGGACGCTCCTCTCCACGGATATGTGTCTGCTCTAAGGTGCGAAACTTCCTCTTTCAGGCGTAGACGGACGACTAACTTTTTAGATACATTGTTTCCACGTCAAATTTCCATCAATCGATTTCAGATCCTGCGTCAGCAACAGGCGATGACTGGAGACTTGTTCACACAAGGATAGTGTCTATTTGTGACCGAATTTGGGAGGAAGTCAAGCCTGTTTTGTGCATCGATTCGCCGGAAGGTCACAGCGATGAGCCGATAGAGGAGTTTAACATCGGGCCAAAGGATATCCTGTCTTATTCCTGGCGTGCTCTTCGCGAGTCAAGGTATTTTTGCTTCTCTGGCAGTGTCATTCGGCCGCTAACGTGACAAGTCTTCTGCTTCATGCGACCCTCGCCAATGCAACCTATGCGCCTCAAGGGGAGTCTGGGTTCACTGCCGATGACTATGAGAAGATAGGGATGTCCAGCTTCACTCAGCTTGCCGAACTTCGCCACAGAGGAGCATTCTCGACCGTATCTCAAACATTTGCCACTTGTTGTCAACGATGTGGCCAGTCGAATGATCCTGCTATCTCTGTTCTGCCTCAGCGATGGTATCAGGTAAGGGAACAGACACAGTGGGGAAATTCAGAGCCTAACGAGTCGTGTATAGGAAGCGAGGAAGATTATATTTGAGGCAGCCTCTCAACTTACAAGGCGCTCAGCAGGTCTACCAGCCTTGGCCACAGGAATAATCCTTTCGAAGCCAGGAGGGCCTCTCTTCCGACAGGTCATAGATGAGCTCCATGAAATAGCTCACCTCCCTGCTGAGCATGATCGTAGCAAACAAAAAGTCGAACTACCACAGGTCCACGCCATGAATTGCTTGAAAGACATATTTACGAATACCAAACTCGGTCCTTTCACAGAACCCTATATCATGCCTGCCCTTACTCTATCAGCTGAACGACTAGGATCGCCTATGTAGGTACAAGATTCCCTCAAACGCTGGTCCAGAAAGCTAACCGGACTAGATGGGCTCTTCGTAACTCAGGACTGATGCTTTTCCGTGCTCTCTTGACACGTATGTGCCGCCTACTGACAGGAGCCAATTTTGGCTTTGGCGGTAGCTCCGGATCAGAGCCGGGTGCCAGAATTTCGTTCCACAAGTATCCGGGTCTCCTTCACCTACTGTCAAATCTTCTTGCTCCAACAGACAAGAAACAGACCAGCCAATTTGGTGATCATGACATTGTCACTGAACGGGTTTTCCCAGCGCTGGAGTTGATCGCTGAAAAAGTTCCGTCCGTTTCTGACGACGACGATATTTTGCTTCGCAATCTCGTCCGAGAGCAGTTCAAGAGCCCCGTGTGGGGGATCAGAGAACACTCAGCCCGAGTATACGCTTCTCTATTGAAGCGCGCCGACATCTTGACGGAGATTCGGGCTCTGTTGGAAGTTGACCGAGGTCTGGAGACTCAGGACTTTCTCCATGGCAAAGCGCTCTGTGCCAAGTACGCTCTGCGCAGGTTTGCATCTATCTCTCTTCCATTCTGGAATAGTATGCCCTCTGCCATGTTGCATTCGTATGTCATGGGCTGACAGGGCATAGATCACTTGAGCGAGGTAGCATCCGTCATACAGGATATCCTGGCAGCATTGTTTCCCTCTGCACACTCGCCGTTTGTCGCCACTACATTGATAGAAATCCTCAACGATGCTGTCGAGAAAAGCATTGAATCGGGAGCTGAAGGTGAGTTTAACCAAGGCTGATTGTAAGCATTGTCACTAAGACCCACCAGATTCAGCTATTCGTATCGTCAATCATGCGTCCGACGTTTTCGTCTTTGAAGATATATTAAACTTTCTTTTCGATTCATCCCATCCTCACTGGAAAACCCTAAATACTACTCGTGCCGCGTCTCTACTTCGAAGAGTACTCGCTTGGACTGCAGTCCTTCGGATATTAATATCGGGTAATGTGGGGAATCTAGAATCATTCTTCCAGAATGTATCCCGCTTCGATTCAAATGCCGGTCGGTGGATAATTGAGCAGATGCAAGCTGTTCTGGGAGAGCGGAGACGCTATAGGGAAACTGTGCTCACATTGTACTCTTCAGTCATTCGGGGAAGCTACACAGCAGAAGTCAAAATGGCGGCTGTCTCTTCACTTGAGACCATTCTGCGTATCGCTCTTGAGTCCCGGGGAACTGACATGAAGGAAATTGGACTTCCATGGGATGCTCTGCACGAGCAAATAGACTCAAAAGCGGGTGAGCAAAGATCCAATCGGGACATGTCGAACGTTGAGCTGCGTCTACAAGGATGTCTCTTGACTATTAGAGCATCCCTGAACCATTGGAAAGGAATGGAGAGAGATATTCGCCGGTGGGCGACTAGACTCCGTTTCGCGATGCAGGAGGAGACGGTGAGCTATTATTTCTTCCGTTTGGAACGCCTGGAGCTGACAGAATATAGGAATTCACAACACGTCATGCTGCGGTGACTTCTCTGACAACCTTCGGGCGCATCTTGCGGCCTGTTGGCAGTCCTCCTCAGGTCGACGCTGTCTTCCTGGAGATTTATCTCATTCTTTATGACATGTTAAATGATGACGACGAGGAGTTGCGTGAACTTGCAGCCTCCATAGCATCCTGGATCCTGTCCTACTCCACCGTTTCTCCTTCGAAAGCCGTTACTCTGGCTCCTCGGTATGCCAGCGACCTACTTTCCAAATTTCTCGTTGATAATTATGCCCAATCTTCGTTCCTGTGCACGAGAATCATCCAGTACGTTACCGGCCAAGCACCGAAGGTCAGTGGTTCTGTGGACAAACCTAGGTTAAAAGCGGTGCCAGACCAGCTCCGCGAGCAAAGGAAAGAAAGCACGATTCTCTTCGAAGAGGAGAAACAGAACCTGTTCATTGACGAAGTGCGTGAAGTTGATGTCTGGGCTGCAATGCTCCTCCAAATGGCAGGATCATCGTTCGACCCCGACCTTGTTCGCGAAGTTACTACATGGGTGTTGGCAGGACTATCGTATATCTGCGAATTCGCTGTCGAGGAAGCGGGCAATGATGGCCTTTTAGGCTGGGCTTCAAAGCCCGAAACCTTCACTCTTGGTGCGCGTGTCATTAGTATTGCGGGCATTCTGGTATCTCAGCATTTTGCTGCTTCTGGATCCTTGAGTGAAGAACAAACCAGGCTCAAGCAGCTTCTTGAATGTCTCTCTGAATCTGGACGAGCGATATCACTTCATGACGACTGGCTGTCGAGAGTGCAGCAAGCATTGCAATACGCTTGAGTTGGCATTTTTAGGTATAGACAAAAGCCAGGATAGAAATGAGATAATGAATATATATTTATACAACTCAGTCAAGTCAGTCCACCGTGAGGCGTGGTCAAGTGTCCAGTCACCGTTAAATGGTGAATTAATCAGTTCTCTCAGTTGCGCCGAGTGAGGCTCCTCACCTGCACGTTCGAGGCAGTTAAGCACATACTATGAGAAACTCGAGAAAGACTATGCCTTCAAGTATTCTACTCTGAGATGCATGTGTCAGTGAAGTGCATTAGGAATCACGTTCTCTCGGTTTGAGGCCTGTCAGTATGAGTACTTTGTGATTCCTCGCCATCCCGACAACGCTAACAGCTTGACCAGGCTCAACAATGATTTCGAGCCTCACCATCGCCGTTGTCCTCCTCGCAGTGCTCGGATTAGTCGCCATCGGCGTGGCCCTCACTTTCAAATGGCGAACAGAAGTCAGACGGAACCTACGCCTACAGCGAGAAGAAACACGACAGAGAGATGCCCATGCCATCGCAGCGCAACTCTTATCAGCAAGGGAAGAACGAGGAAGAAGAGCAAGTTCAAGATCAGCGGCCCCAAGACCGTCAATACAAAATAGAACGAGACGAAGCTCGCGACGGGTCTCACCCATCGGCCGACATGTACAGAGAAACGAGGTCAGGAGGTCTACGACAAGGGCAGAGAATACTGTGCATCAGCAGCAACAGCAGCAAAGGCCATCAACTCCCCAACCTCCTCCTGCTGGTGTTCCTCTCTCATCTCCTGTTCAACCGGCAGCGCCGCCGTCCTCTCCTCCTAAGCCCTCTACTCCAGTAGCAGCAGCGACAGATGATGAATGGCAGATCAACGAAGCACAGCCAAACACGCAAGAATCCCAGGGACAAGCAGAAGGACAATATGACCCGTGGGGGTCGAGCGATGCAGCACAAGCGCAGAACTCACAGGGAGAAACTGAGGGCGGATGGAAAGCCACTGACGCTTTCGCTCCAGCGCAAGACACCCAGGGAGAATGGTCAGGGGACGGGAAAGCTAGCGAAGGAACAACTACGAAGGCCACTGAGGAAGCAAAGCCAGCAGAACCAGAGGGTAGCTGGTAGTTAGTACTCGTTATTTACACTGGTTCATTCATAGGTCAATTAAAGAGGTAAAGACCGGATAAATGACGTGGTTGGTGGTTTGGTTAGTTCCCGAGGCGGTGACGTTGTAGTAAAAGGAACTCCCCCGCGGATCTCCAGGCGGTGACTTTCCCAATGCATCTTACTCCTCTCCACATACAGCATCTAGCTCTCCCTCTGGATCCATCAGCTTTGATTTCTCTTCTATATCGATATATCCGATGCTACTCACTTCTCTGGATTGATCAGCCCGCTGTATGTTCTAGATTTCTTTTCAAGTGCGTTGAGCTCGGCTGTTCCTGCGATTCCCAGCCCCCAACATGTGGAACGACGAGGATAACAACCCGTACGGCGCATTCGATAACGAGGCACGTCTTTCGGAATCGCTACACTCTGCAACATTGTCACCTCGTAATACTCCCCCTCCGCATAGTCTAACTTCGCAACTGACGCTCTCAGCTATCTATGAGCGCGAGCATAGTCCGTCACCCTCCAGTCGATCGTCCAACCAGGATCCGCCCGATTACATTTCCCGACCGCAGGACCTAAGTGATGAGGATGAACCTGAAGATTATGGTGCCCAACAGACGAGTCATGGTTATCCCCGCAAGAGTCATTACGATAGCCGTATAGAACAGATTCTCTACGAGAACCCGGACATGCCGATCCTCATCACGGACGCCGGGAAGAACCATGAGGGCGGCGGTAGTTTCATTGTATATACGATACGCACTGGAGTATGTGCCTCCTTGAAGCGCCTAGGGCTGAGATGCTCACGAAATCTAGGATCTTGAAGTTCGACGACGATACTCCGAGTTCGCTTCCTTGCGACAGACACTGGTGAACCTTCATCCCACCCTGGTCATCCCCCCGATTCCAGAGAAGCATACAATGGCGGATTATGCTGCCAAGCCTACCAAAGCCAAGGAAGACTCCTCCATTATCGATTTACGCAAACGGATGCTTGCCGTCTTCTTGAATAGGTGTCGCCGGATGAAGGAAGTTCGGGAGGATGGAGTCTGGTGGAGATTCCTCGATCCGAACGTTAGCTGGGTATGCTGATAGTATCTCTGTGATGCGGCCCACGCAATCTCAGGCTGACTTCATTCTAGAGCGAGGTTCTTCATTCGCACCCTGCATCGTCCGTGCCAAAGAACAACCTGAAGGCCCCTCCCCTCGACCCCGCTAACCCTACGGCTGCTCACTCGTGGCTTCCGGTTCCCTCGAGCTCCGCAAAGCTTAAATCGGCAACGAGCGGTGCAACCTCTGGCACTACGGACCGCGGAGACGCCTCGGCCAGCGTACCTGGACCTGATGTTCTGGGCCGTTTCCCGCCCGAATCGAAGAAGCTGAGTGAACAGGATCTGGATCCGTACTTTATCAATTTCGAAGCCTCTACGCGGGAACTCGAGCTACTTCTTCAAGGTAACATCGAAAAAGTCAACCGTCGCACGCTGGCGCATCTGTCGTCCCTGTCTGCAGATCTTATGGAGCTGGGCGCCAGATACAATGGTTTCTCTTTATCTGAACAGTCTCCGACCGTGGCAGCGGCTATCGAGCGCATCGGTCAAGCAGCAGATACGTCCTACATTGCGACCGAGGAATTGTCGTCCTCGCTGAGCGCGAGTTTCGCAGAGCCTATGAGGGAGAGCGCCCAGTTCGCCAGTGTTGTCCGCAGCGTGTTACGGTACCGAGTTCTCAAACGTGTGCAAGAAGAGATGACACGAGATGAACTGGCCAAGAAGAAAACCTTACTGGACTCTCTAGAGAGAAGCGAGCTCGAAGCGAAACGTATCGAGCAGTATCTCAACCGTACCTCACCTCAATCTGCGACGAACCGACCTCAGCGTTCCTTGTCTGCCTCATCAGCAACCAGTGGCGCTGGCAGCCGTGAGGGGGATGGACGCTCTGCGGGCTCGGAAGACACAGCTTCTGCGGACTCTGATTTCCCACCTACCCATGGAGAGGCGATCAGCTCGCAGCCGCAGCCATACCACACCTCTCCGCCTCGGAGGCCTGAGTTGGGGCCCTCCGCTCCTCCTGCTCACCGCAAAACGTCAAGTGGCACGTTTGTAGCAAACAAAATATTCGGTCGCATCAGTCATGCGATACATGGCTTTGCCGACGTGGACCCCGAACGCACGCGACGAGACCAGATTGGAAAGACTAAGGAGAGCTTGATACAGGTTAGTTGGCAATTGACGTCTTGCATTGCTCAGCACTGATGCCTTTCTCTGCAGCTGGAACAGGCACTCGAGGTCTCCGAGAAGGATGTCAAGGACGCGAGTGCCGGAGTATTACAAGACTTGAAGCGGTTTCAGAAGGATAAGGAGGCCGATCTACGGCGATATATGGTAGGTTGTCCCCATAGGATGAGACGATTCGCGTCGAAAGGCAACCATGCTGATTGTTGATAGGTCGCATATGCTCGCTGTCATCTGGACTGGGCGCGAAAGAACCTCGAGACTTGGACAGAGGCAAAGGACGAGGTGGACAAGATTGTCGTTCGATAGTCTGCACATACCGGGGGTTGTTTTGCTTGGTTCAAGAAGCCGTAGGGTTCGTGTTCAACTACATTGCCTTCATATATTGCAGCCTTAAATCAGCACAGTGTGATACCACTATAGTACGCTTCTGAGACTAAGGCCATTTTCATCTTTCGTGCAATAGATACCGCTCAACCTTTGGTGTGTCTGCCTTTGTCCAGAATATCTCTGAGAAGACTGGAGGGGAATAAACAGGATACGAATCAAACAGGTGGTAAGAAGCAAGGTGTATCCCGTGCTCTTTGAGCATTGTCAATGCTCTCATTGCCTTATGGAAACGATGCAATGTGTACAACAGTACAAGTAGAGACGAAAGTGTAGTGGGGCGCTAATCCTGCAACCTGGCGGAATGCTTGACTGCCTCAGGAACCTATCAGCGACCATAGTTCCTAGCACGAGGGATTATCCAGGAAGCCTAGAAAGGGTCCTTTAGTTAAGAGTTCTAGAGAAGTAGTTGATTCATCATCACCGTGGGCAGGAGCTGTCCAGATGATTTACGTGATCACTTGGCCTACCCTCTTTCTGCAGCTGAGAGTGTGCCCGTACGTCCACCGTTAACGTTTTCTTTTCCTGTGCGCCCATTTTACGGCGATTGGTCTGTCCTTGCATCAACACCATTCAGGATCGACACTTAACAGACCCTAGGGATCAGGAACCTCTTCTTGCAAGCTACCACTGTCAGTACTAATGTAATGGTCCTGGCTTGAGTACATATCCCCTTGCAGTTGGTGGGTCGCTGATTGGTGCTATTGTCGGCACACATCGCTTGCTGTCATCATTGGCGACGTCTTCTGCTCTTTGAACCACTCACTCAGTCTCCACAATCATCATTTGGATCAGCTCCAAAGTAGGAGTGAGGATCTTTCATCATCGACACTAGGAGTCTTCCTGGCGATCTTGGTCCGCAAGCCCTACATATCAAGGACCGAACATCTGTCTGCCTCCCTAGATGGTTATGTACCACATTGCCCCGTATAATTTCATCAGATGCTCCGCAGTGATGAAGTCCAGAGGCATACACTCCTGTCCGAGATGATTGCCAGGGCATCTGATTTCTCAGCATGGCTTCTGCCGTCTTATACGTGGCCCGGAGGCAATCCTCCGTCATGGCTTGCACCAATTTGGCCATCAGCCGCTCGTCGTCGTGTCATCAAAATGGTTGTCCTGGTAGCTCTCTTCTGCCTTGTCACATGGGCATTATGTACACGCATACCACAGCGTTCTACGCAGGGGACCCAACAACCGCAACGGCCGCAGCAGACACCGCACCCGCACCCGCAGCCTGAAGACACTTTCCCGCCCACGCATGCGACAGACTTTAAAATCCATGACCCGAGCATCATCCACGTCGATGACACGTACTACTCGTACAGTGTGGGCGAGCATATTCTCATCCACGAGGCACCCAGTCTCGACGGGCCGTGGAAACGCTCCGGCACCGTCCTGGACGCGGACAGCGTGATCCCCAAGGGCGATCGGAAAGCCCCCTGGGCGCCGCAGACCATCCGCCACGGCGATACGTACTACTGCTTCTACGCCGTCAGTAACTCCGGATGCCGTGACAGTGCCATTGGCGTTGCCACATCCAAGTCGCCCGGTCCTGGGGGCTGGACGGACCACGGGCTGCTCGTACAGTCCGGGACAGGGAAGGGGTCGGGTGAACACCCGTTTACTAGCTCCAATACCATCGACCCGAGCGTGCTCGTTGGAGAGGACGGTCGAGGATACCTGATGTTCGGGAGCTTCTGGTCGGGGATCTGGCAGGTACCGCTAGACGAAACCCTGCTTTCGGTGGCAGGCGATACGAGATCCGAGGCACGACAGCTGGTGTATATGGAGAAGGCGCCGCTGCCGGCGAGCAACCACCCCAATCCACTGTGCCGGGAGCCGTCGGGTGCCCGTCCCATTGAGGGAAGTTTTCTCTCGTACCATGAGCCCTGGTATTATCTCTGGTTCAGTTATGGGAAGTGCTGCAAGTTCGATACGAAGCATCTACCGCCTCCGGGAAGAGAGTAAGTCTTGTCTCTGTTGAATCGATAAATGCTCTCCTGACATCGGCCACAGATATAGCATCCGAGTTGGTCGATCCAAGAGCCCCCGGGGGCCATTCGTGGATAAGCAAGGCAGGGACCTAGCCAACGGCGGCGGCGAGATCGTGTATGCATCCAATCGCGACGTTTACGCACCTGGGGGACAGGGAGTATTGACAGAAACGAGTGGTGACACACTATACTATCATTACTGTAGGTTCCCTGTCGTGCAGAGATCGAGGTAGATGCTGATCTTTCCAGTGAACAAAACTACAAGCTATGACTTTTGGGTAAGAAGGTTCCATAATCTGAAGAGTCAATGACTAATTGGTCCCAGGAAGCTCGACTGGGGTATAATCCGTTGAAATACGTGGACGGCTGGCCTGTCCCCCAGTAGATGCGATGATCAGATCAGGATAGACTAGACAGGATATACGTATACATCGAGATGGCCTAGGTCAGATACAAAATAATGCTCGAGTCTCCAATAGAGCAACGACTTGAAGATAATTCAACAGCAGACACGCGCCTTCCAGTCTAAGATATATACATCACATCTATACACAATCAACCGTCTGGTCGCCCAGTCTATCTCTATCGACACAAACCGCAAACATCAACCCAATGAACGCCGGCAATCTATCACCCACAGCATACCCATCTAAAGGCATCATCAAAGCCATCCACACCCTCTCCTCTACCACCGTCTATTCCCAACCTAACTGAACTCACCCCTCTTCTACACTCTTCCCTTCACCCCCCTTGTCCGCATTCGACTCCTGCCCCCGAACCTTACCACTATTCTCCTTCTTCGTCGTCCTCAACGGCGACAACAAAGGCGAGGAAATGATCCTCACAGCCACACCACCGCCGCCACCACCACTCACGTCAATCGAACCCTGCCGCCCAGGCACAGCCAGCGGCACCCCCTTTCCGCATCTCCCATCTTCCCCGCGACAATCCCGCTGCGCATGCTTCCCCTCGCGCAGACGCAGCGGCCCCTCCTCCGCCTCAAACTCAAGACTCGGACCGAGATCCAGAACGCTGATCTCGCTATCGCTGAGGAGGAGACTCCTCCGTCGAGAAGGGTATTGATGGATATCTTGTGCGCTGTTCCCGTTCTCGGTGTAGCCTGCCACTGCCACGTTTGTATTCGTGTTTGTGCTGTGGAGGCGGATGGTCGGGTGAGGGTGAGGCGTTGAGTCTTCGTCGGGTGGTGCCGGTGCTCTTGGTTCTTGGGACATTTTGCACGCCGTGTCCTCAGGAGTAGTGGATGAGGTACAGTGAACGACGAGCGTTATATGAGGAGAAGATGCGAGGAAGAAGCGCAAGTGTGCGTCGGAGGCTTAACCAGTAGAAGAACGGCGAGGGTGCAGATGAGCAAGAGGCATACGGCTATGGGCAGTTCTTGATCGTCCATGCGGTTGTAGTGCTTATTAGTTTAGGAGGAAAGGACATTTTGATTTGTCTGAGGGTGGGTTGTAGCGGAAGGAACAGGCGAGTTATATATGTATGTAGTGGGAAGTATCAGATGATAAATCATTTCTTTCCTCTGAATCTCACTCCATGTGGATTATTAAAGATGGATTATTAAAGTGGCTATGACGTTCTACGATTTCTTTGAGTTGGAAATAAATCTTAGATTATAGATGTGACAAGTGACGATGATGGTGAGGCTCTGAGCAGGTGACAGCTTCATCGGTCTCGGCTCGGTCATCTGATGAACACTCGAGACATTGTCACTTTTCCAGGTCTTACTTATGAACAAGTACTGTACCGCTGATTCCATATGTTCTACCGTTTCCCAGAATATGAAAATATGATAAAAAAAAAAGGAAAGCCCTTTATGATGCAAAGCGGGAGGAGAAGTCCTCTACCGTCTGAGACAAAAATAACAATGCTTTTGAACATGGTGCTCACCAGACGCACCTTCATGACTCTTCGTAGACACAATGTAAATGCATGCATGGCTTGTATGGGCCACCCGAGGAGTATTAGATCTAACACAGTGCCCTCAACACCCACTTCCAAACAATAATTATGTATAAACATCACGAATTGCTGACTGAGGATAAGCGATGCAGATATCGCTCCTCACCAGACAAGAGAAAGATACTTGTCGTCGACTTCATCGCAGTAGTCGTCAGCCATGCAACAGCCGTATTTCTTTCGCGATCATCGCCTCAGTAGTTGACCGAGCCGGCTTTCGCTCAGTCCGAGACGATCTGGTCATCATCATTCACCCGTAACTCCACCACGGGTAAATCTTCATCGTCATCACCGTCTAGTGGCGGAGGGATGTCCTGAATCGGAGCTTCCTCCTCCATGGGCGTGCCTGGGAACACTCCCTGACCGATTGGGCTTCCGGTCAATGCGGCGAGGCGCAAGTCGGAGTCGCTGAGATCTCCCCCGCCCACGGCTTTGTTGCTGGCATCGTCGTCGAACAAATCCTCGTCATCAGAGATGGATCCCGGGGGTACTGTGGTCATCTGTGAAAGGCCATGAGCATTTGTGACTCGGTCGAAGGACCACGTGGGCTGGCTTGAGTAGGGGAGCGGGTTGGCATAGGCTCCATCGCCGAACTCGTCTTCATCAAAGCTCATACCTTCCAGTCGGTTTGCTTTCGCAAGGCTCTGCTCGCCAGCGGCTGGGCTGTCCGAATAGTCAGGGGGAGATTCATCATCGTCGTCATCATCACTGTCCTCATTCCTCGCCCGGATTCCTGTTCGCAAACCACCATCTCCCGCTTGGTGAGCTGCTCCGACTCCGGCTAAGGCGCTCGACGACCCATTGCGGGAGGAGCCGCCGAGACGCCGCCCGTTCCCCGACGGCGACTGCGCACGGGACCCAGCAGGGGAGTTGTCCTCGCTGGCTGGTCGAGTTGACGACTCGGCGATTTCCTCCAAGATCTTTCCGCCCAGCGGGCGGTCTGAACGCCGACGGTAAAACAATAAATACGCGGCGGGAGTCACCACACTTTGGGGGTCAATTGGTCGTGAGACAGACGAATCTACCAGTTCCCGTCAGCAAACACGGTTATTCTTGAAGGAACGCGGTCACAGAAGGCTCTTACCATTGTACTCGTTCCATTCGCCACTCATAAAGTTCTTCGCGTAGGCCGTATAGTGACCGCCTCCTAATCCACCGTAGTGGTTATCAACCGCGAAGAGATCATAGATTAGGCTCTTTCCCTCTTCAGGCGCTTCGACACGGCCGCTCATGTCCAGCCCTTCAACGGGGAAGTCGACCAAGACATCCAGCTTGTCCCTAAAACCCCTGCTGGCGCTGAATCTCTTCAGGTGCATGACAAGGATGTCGGGAGTCTTCCACAATTCGAACTTCTTGCTGGCTCTGCGATGCTCCTTGCAGCGAGGGCAGTACCATGCATCATTCTCGGAAAGAATCTCCTCTTTGTTGAACTCATCAAGACATTCGTAGAGCGTAACGCCCCTCTTCTTCCGGCTCCGACGAAGATCACGGCGTTTGGCGAGTTCCGGATCAGGAATGCGCTCCACGTTGGTCCATGTAGGAGTACCACGTAGTCCGTCAGTGCCCTTTTTATCCCCACCAAATAGGGCATCGTGGGCTTGATCGTTCCAATCCAGCACGATACCTTCGCCCGGGCGGATCAGAGGACGCTCGTCGGTTTGGTTCTTTACAGCCTTAGGGCGACTGATGTTGGAGAACATGTCTGAGTCACTGTCAGAAGCACTGCCGGCGCTTCCATCCTGATCCGAGTCATCACTGGTCTTTCGCTCGGTCACTGTACCGGATGTTGTCTGCGAATTTACACTGTTGTCAGATTGCCTGTCTTCACTGATAAATATATTCTCGCGGATGTTTACCTTCTTCTGTTTGCTAGACGACTGTGCTTTGACCCTGGACGACATCAATGGATAGTCTTTGATATCGTCCACTGAAGACCAGCCGAGAGGCACAACCTCGTGGGACGATTTGATAATCTTCATGTCGAAGAGGCTCCGGAGGCCAGGTGCAATAGAGCTGCCAGGGCCCGAGACAGCATTTTCACGCTGGGTGTCTTGTGAAGATGGAGTATCCATCTCGTCCGAAGCGTCGCGCATGGAAACGTCCACCAAGCCATCCTCACCGTCCACGGATGAGGTCTTGATTTTAGAATCTGCAGATTGCGCGTCATCTTCATTCATCACAACGGTATCCGAATCCTCTTGAGTTCCCCCTTGCTCATCAGCTTTCTTGATGTTCTCCTCATTGAGAATGTCTCGCGTTGTCAATGTGGCAACAGCTTCAAGAACTTTGCGGAGGATGGCATCGTAATCTTGAGCTTCTTGTCTGCTGATGATTACATACAAAGGAGCGCCGAAGAGCGACCGCTGCATATTCCCGCTGTTATTCGACTTTGGTCGGCAATGGCGATTGAAGATGGGCACAAGCATTCGATCTGCCTTGGGCGAGTCAAAGCTCGGAATTTCTTCATAGTCTGAACGTCCATAAGAAAAGTAACTCTTCTGGCGCTTGTCGGGATTATAGTTGGTAGGGACAGATTCCACCTCGAAGATTGCGATGTCGTCGCCTTGGCCGATCTGGCAATCAGCAATGGACGCTGAGTTGTCGAACATCTTGTAGAATTTGCACTTGTAAATTTCGGCCATGACGAGACGCTGAGGATCGGAGCCCATCTTCTTGGCTACTAACTCCTTGAGCGCCTTGATGCTGGCGTTTTTATCAATCTCCACGTCAACGATGACAGGCTTGCGGTGGAGAGGGAAAAAGAAGATCTCCTTGCTCCAAAGATTCTCGATCGGAAGCTGAAGCGTCAGATTGTTAAATGGATCAAAGATGATGCTGACCTTCTCGCAGACAGGACAGACAAGGGTTGACTTGTACATGCCCGCAAAAAGATCCGTGATGACCGAGTCATTGCGGGCTTTGTAAATGTCCCAGCACTTATTGGCAAACTCTTTGAGAGCCTCCTTGTCGTGGACCATGTCGTCCGTGGAATCAGGCTTCTCGATATATGGCTTCTTCTGGATTCTGTTCAAATCTTCTTGCAGCCCATCCAGTAGGAACAACAGAAATTCCTGCGAGTCCTGTTGCCCGTATCCGGAGAATGCTGGACCATAACGACCGATGGTATGTTTAAACTGGCGGGGAGCGAACGACGACTGACCCGCTTCGTCGTAGATCATACGAAGAAGGTTCGCATACGCCTTGGCTATATCACCGTTATGGGCGAGAGGATTACTGGGGTTGAGATCTTTCTTATACACATCGTCTACCGAAAACGGTCAGTGAGATAACAGCCACGCGCCAAAGGAAAGGGTGAGAATCCGTACTCAGGAAGTAGTATGTGAGTTCCTCCACACTACGCACGCACTGTAKAGCAGAGTTCATGTAGCAGGTGTTTCCGAGGTTGCTCAATCCCGTGGAGCCCCTGGGCTTTCCGTCTTTACGTCGGCCCCTAATAGGCTCTGGAGCGGGCGATGATCTACCACTGTTGGTAGGACTTTTGTTCTTGAGCTTCGCAGGCAGGCCATTCTTCATACTGCCACTCGGGACACCTAGGCGATCAAGGGTCTTTTTGGATACTTCTGAAGCCCATTCTCCACCAACGCGCTCCTCAAGTACCACAACATCACTGGTAGACAAGCCAACACGATCCAAGGTAGATCGACCGTTGAAATTAGGATTATTTGTTTGGTCCTTGACGTTATCGACCAGTTCTCGCTGAGCGCCGTCCGATAACGAGAGGAAAGTGTTGAGGTCAAGCACAAGGTTGTTGCCGGCATTGGCAACCAGGGAGGCCGTAGGCGCCGGAGAAGCGCTCCGTGACGCAGCGGGTGTGATTGCAGCCGATGCCGTCGCGCTTCCCAGTCCCCCGAGAATTCTCCATACACGGACCTTGGTAGACATGTCAATATTGGCCAGTCCCTTCACTTGCTTCAGCCATTTTTGGAAGTTGGTGTGTCGGCTGGACAAGACCTTCGCAGGTGGCATATTCTTCTCTCTTAGACTCTGTGGAGTGGTCCCCGCTGCCGGGGTTGCTAGCTTCAGAATGGTGAAGATTGGAGGATGAAGCTCGTATTGAATATTTTCAGTATCACCTTCCTCCACGGTGTTGTGAGCATAGCGAACAATGGCTGGCGACTGATTAGCCAAGCCGTACCATCGCATGATCAGGTCCCAGCCTTCCTGGGGCACTATCTCAAAGTCCTCTCCCATCTGTAGACCTGGACGCAAGGGCACAAATGGCTCTCCTGCCTCATCATGGAAGCCGGTAATCGCCGGGTCAGTGACCAGCACAAGGTCTGAGTTATCCACGGGTCCAATTTCTCCTTCAGCTGCCGACTTATCTGCCTTGTCGGCATGGGTCGAGCTGCGAGCGAGCACCCGCTGCAGCCAAGACATGGACACGAGATATCCCTTCTGTTTCTCCTTCAACGGCTGGGCCATGGTGCAGGTCACTTGAGCGACTTGGTCGTCGATGGGAGGGAGATCGTGGGACGAGCCGGAGGCTTGGGCCTTGGATTCCTTTCGGGTCGCCGTGGGGGCGGTAAAGGTCGACATGCTGGATGGCGTGGGATAGACGTTGTCTGACCCAGAGTTGTCACCGTTGCCGTTCGAGCTCCCCTCCGCCGTAGTCGTATCCATCGCGTCTGTGTGCTGGGACAGCGAAACAGATCTCTTCTCCGTCGAACCTAGATCCATCTCCACATCCTGGTCGGCGTTAGGAGCCGACCGTTTGATACCCGGGGAGGATGACCGAACGTCACCTCCAGTAGGCGGAACACTGCCATCTCTTTTGTCGGAACCAGATATATCCGTCATAGCGTCGCTGTGTAGGGTGAGTCCTGCGCAGGCGATCGAAGGATAGTCGGCGGCACTACTCGCGGATTCCGGGGTCGGGGAGCGGGCGGCGGTGCCAAGCACTTCTTCCTGCAAATGAGCGGGAATGTAGCGAGGAGACGGGGACACAGAAGGGCTTTGACTTCGATTCGACCCGGACGTAGACGATGGGCGAGGATTTGGTGGCACGGAAGACGAGTCGGAATGGGGCTGCTGACTGTGACGTCTTCCAGCCTGCGAGGCAAACGACAAACCCGGAAGGGCTCCTCCTGGTCTGCGAGGCTCTGCAACCTTACGGCGCTTTGTGGAAGACGTCGTGACGGTGAGCTGCGCACGTCTCGTGGCAGCTCTGGGTAACACGATAAATGGTTGATTGAAAAGACAGGCCAGTTAGCTGATGATTTGATGATAATGACCTAACTGGTGTCTTAAAAATAAACCAGCATATAAAAAAGAGTTTATACAAAAAATAACAAGCGCAAGAAAACCCGCCAAGTGAGGGGAGGAAAAGAAATGAATCGAAAAGAAAATCCGACGACCGTCCAGGCGGGAGTCGTCGTTTAGTCAGTCCGTCCCGGTCGCCAGTCCACTGCTGAGTGGTTGAGGCGAAAAAAAAGGCACTGTGGGGATTGAAGCTAAAAGGCGGAGTCTGGATAGGGTTGAATCTGATCCACTCTCGATATTATTGGCAAGTCCTCTTGAATATTCTTCCTTCGGCGTCGAGATATTGGTGAAGTTAGGAGAAGAGTGGGTGGTGAAGTTGATTCGTCTTGCGAGCAAACCAGGGAGGAAAGAAAGAGGCAGAGCAGGAGAAGGCTGCAGATGAGAGATATTATCTCATCATGCTCGCTTTGAATCTCTGGCTTCCTCTATTGTGTTCTCCAGCGGATGCAGAATAAGAATAATAACAATGGAAGAAACAGATGAAGCAATTTGATTAACGATGGCGATGATGGTCTCTATTGTGCGAGCCCATTGACTGGGTCACAGTGTTGACCGTCAACACCACTCATATTGATAGTTTGCTACTATAGAAGAAGACGGACGAAAGACAGAACAATCATGAATATTCGACTAAACTGACGAGTTGGACCCGTATCTTTCGATATTGTCATGTATTGTGGGGAAGACACGATCTCGAGGCTAATTCAACTTCCTTACTGTGGTTAAAGTAGTCGAGTCACCAAGGTACTAATCATCCTAGTTACAACTTGCTCCCTTTCCATCTGCTTTCACCTCTCTTTCCACTCTCTTCAATCATCTTCACGCCTTGGTATAAAAGCGATAAAGGTCATTCTCGGGCAAAATATAAACAACATCAGCTCGACTCCCAAACTCTGCATTTGCCTGGTCATTTTTGGCAGCCACCTTGGCCATATTCCCACGGTAGGCTCGCATCAACAAGTCGCAGCGTTCACAAAGCAATAAGCCGCATCCACGCGCATGGGGTGAGGTTGGTGCGACGGGCTCCTGGTATTTGTTCACTAGCTGAAGAGTGCTGCAACCGAAAAATGCTGGATTCGGGCAGAGAGAACACCACGGGTTGATCCGTTTCGGTGGCTGTCCTGGTATCGGGATCAAGCTGTTATAAGCAGCGTCGAAGTCGAAGGTGTCTACTTTGTATCCTTTAAGAGGGACAATGTCGTGACGTGAGCAGTTCACGATGTGGATTCTCTCCAATGCACAGGTGACGCACATTCGACTGGGCTCGTGACCATCTTTGACATGTCCTCCATTTATTTCGACATACCTCCCATCACCGAAATCGATGACTTCGACGGCTCTTCTACCCAGTCCCATGATGCCATAGACGAAATTGCTACACCAGTGACAAGGGTCCGTGCCGTCAGATGGTGGCTCATAGGCGAAGTCCACCGGATGGGCCAAGGACGTGTAGATAATCCGAGTGCCGCGGTTCTTCGGGGCTGATGTAAAGGAAACAGGGTCCTCGGGCTCGTCATTTGCAGGGAGAGGGGGAATTGTGGCCCAAATGGACCCAGAGTCACCAGAGCCCGCACAACTCTCGCGTTTATCTGTCTTCGTCCTTGGCTCCAGCGGCGGTTTGCTCTTTGCTGGGCCGGCGGTACAAGGAATTCCCGTTGCTTGACATTGTTCACAAGATACACTGTGGTCGGTTTCGCCGTAGCTGTAGGAGCATGTCTTCCCTGAGCGTCTGCATCTCTCACAGGCTCTTTTCCACACAGGAGGGATGATCAGCTCGCAGTCGATGTTATCCTCCTTGCAGGTCTGGCAAGGATATGCAAACTGATCTTCGAGGAGTGAACAGTCTTGATGGATCTTGCGGCACGCCCAACACCCCTTGGCTGCTGCTTCATCCAGATCTACAAGCCGGTCGTTGCCCTCTTGAGGGCTTTCTCGTTTCCGGAGCGAGTATCGCGAGTTCGATTCAACCGTGCAGACGGCTATATTCCAGTACTGCATCAACTGCTCGTTGTCTTCAGGCGGGATGTCTGCCTCGGACATGGGAAGAGCGGCAAGGAATGCTCTTCCAGTTATTGATTTCAAGGCCATGATGACAATCAATTGTTCCGAGCTCCTAGATTGTTTTTTGGGTCGAGTTGAACCTCCTGTGCGAGATGCACGCTTTCGCTTAGAATCCGATGTTTCGTGCCCCGGGTTATAGTCGCTATCACTGTCGTCGTCAAGCCAGCACGATGGGATGGTCTGTTTGCCCTTCGAGCGCCGCTTCCGTAAAGTGTACTTGCATTCGTCAGCAAGGGTTCCAATCAATCTGGCGCTCGGGCTCCGAAAAAGCTCAATAGCTTGTTGTAGTCTTTGCAACGTATATGCCATGAGGAAGCTGGAGCTTCAGGAATTGAGTGTATATGGTGAGGGAATCCCTCAATGGGGGCTCAATAAGATGTGCAAGGTCAAGAAGTACTAGATAGATTCGAGAATGAGGAGGCTCTAATCTTGACTGATCTTGACTGATGAGAGCATGCGATGAACCAACGGAAGGAATATGTGGTCATCCCAGTGGATAACATACCAGAAATTCTATCCCAGTCCGAGATTCAGTCCGAGATTGATCCGCAGGTAAGGTGAATGTAAATAGAAATGCGGGTAAGAGGATATAAACTGAAACAAGAAGTGTCCGTAAGATGATAGATAGGTATGTGCAGTAACACAGTCCCCGGTTGAGATGCTCTACTGAGAGGAGCAAATTTTCCGATTTGGTCTCAGATGAAGTGAATGCAAAATGGAGTACTATGATCCCATCAGAGTGAAGTAACCAAGCTCCTGCTCTAGACGTTTCAGAATTGTCAGAAACACCTTCGTTATTTGGTCAAAAGTGAAAGGACCTCGTCTTTACTGTAACTTGGTGAGACACGACAACATCCAACTGTGAAATGATAGTCGAATGTCACAATCCGATGTCAGCCTCTCGACCTGATACCATGCTTAGTACGAGCAACAGCAATCTGTGCAGACTTTCAGAACTCTTTGGATCGTAAGATGAGAATGAGGAGTAACGTTTCCCTGACTGTTTTCAGTTTAACCCCAAGCCCTTGAACCCGACGTTCAAGCTGAATCAAGACATGGCAACAACTTCAAGACCGAGAAGAACACACAGAGCAAGTGTTTCTCTCTGGCAGACTGACAGCGTCTTCACGGGTCAGTCCTCACCAGCGGCTTTGCGCATGAAAGTGGTAAAAGACTTACTTGTAAAATTGTCAAACGTAATTATGGCAGGGACAAACTTCATCGCAAGCATCAACAGCATCGCAGTTACGCTAATACTCCGCAATCACAGTCTGTACACTTATTGCTGGTACAGCAGGACGTCACTGCTTGTTTTTGAGAATCCCTGGTTCCTCTGAGGCGGCTGAGGAAGAATGCATTTTGCTTTGTCTTGCGCGTAGGTGGAGTGCAGCAGCTCGAGGTATACATATGTATTTGAATCGATAGTGTCGGGCAGTCGGGAGAATAATGGAAGTATAAAGCACATTGGAGTAGACACCCATCTTGCAAAATATGGTGGCAGGCTGGCATAAGATTTACCTCAATCGATAGTGACCTGGGAGAGTTAATGAAAAGTATTCTTCTGGTTTCTTCATAGCGCAGGTTCCTGGATATTCACTGAAAGCTGCAACAACCAAAGCGAGCGGCTGCGCTCAGTAGCAAAGTACAGCGAACATAGCCATTCGATCAATGATCACAGCCATCCAGAACCATTAAAGCGTCCAGGTTTTCTCAGTCATCGTCAAACACGATACAAAGTACGGTGATCATGGCAAAGAATGAGAAAACTAGAATTGTTAGAAACAGAAACAGACATATTTTGCAGAAATGATTCTTCGTAAAGCGGAAGCCGCAACAATAAAGAGGGCCTGAGATGCAACATCAATACCGTGTCTGCTGTAGGTAAACGCTGCTAGTATCTGCTGGCCTACTATCCTCCCGAGGCTGTCCCAGTTCTAAGTCTGGGTAAGGAGGCAGTTTTCGATTTGAAGACATTTTGCTAGGCCTTGATATCGGAGTCAGATAGAGCAAAGAGATTCTGAGTAACTGCAACAGATGGATGATTGACATTGATAGTGATTGTTGACAAAGACAGTAAAGACTGGTTGTACCGAAGACACTCAGCTGAATAGGGCTATGGGGAGTATTCTATATATGTGGTCACGTTGACATAGGGATGTCCAGCTAAGGCAGCTATGGTGCAGTATACTTCACTCAAATATGTGAAGTCAAAACTGCAAAATGGGTCAAATGTACCATAAAACCGGTTGACAAAGATCTATCCAATCCAGAGTCTTAAGTCCGACTACCTTATGGACGGGAACATCCCAAAAAGGGAGCCGACCAAAAGAGAGACGCCATACACGTCTCTCCTTAGTTATCTGTGCCCTAATCCATAGAACTGCAGTAATGAAAACTAGCAAATTATAAGCCCCGAAGCTGTCGAAGCATCACCTTGCCCTCAAGCAAATATCCATGCCACCATGGCTGCAACCAGACAACAAGGACATTATGAAGCCCGGTGATAACGAGTTCGCTTTCCAAGGTTTTCTACCATAAACAACGTCCAGATCGGGACGCCTTCAATTGTGTTGCGGTATCACTACAGGAATCCTGGCCTCTCGTTTCTTCATGCTGGACTTGCGCTTCGTCCGTATCAGTAACTGAAAGGGAGGTCGTCCATGTCGACCCCGGGTATGCAGGACGCAAGCTCAATGAGGTTTACATATATTGCAGCCACATTTCTTATAATCATCATTGTCTTGTAGCATAGGAGAAAAAGTTGCAGCTGTGGTACGCACTTATATTATCTTCCCCCACGAGAGTCAGCAAGGCCTAGCCCTTAAAATCACCCATTGAATGGCACCGAGCACCTTACACCCTCGGGCTTAAACAATTCAGCATTCGACATCCAGAAAAGCAAGAAGGTGAGCATAGCTCGAACTCCAGACATCGCAGCAAACAGGCGATGTTGAACACCGTCTCTTTCGACCACACACTCATCCAAACCCCTCCCCTGACAGCAATTTCCTTGCTGCATAAATGCCACCAGAAATTATAAATACTGTCAAGATAACCACAGCCACTAATACCGTGACGATTATAGCCAGCCTTACGAGAGCGACCGACGCGTCTGCCATCTCATTGAACGTAGCTGTCAAATTCCACGGTTTCCTGGCTAGGGCCTGATAGAAGGTCACGAAGCCATCCAGGAGCGGTTTCGTCCACTTTCTTGTGGGGAGAGGAGCCGTGCCGGCCTCAGGATCAGAGGAGGAAACGCAGCTGTAAGAGTGCCGGTTTGAGCGATCGTGTAGGCCACGATACGATGGCTCTCTGACGTGAAGGTCATCTTCTGAGCTTGGGTAAGACGGCGGTTGGGCGTTCATGGTGAGTGTTAGGAGGAATGATGGTATCGATGGTATCAATGATAGTGATGGCTGAATTATCTTATCGGAGAAGGATGAATAGAAACAAGTCAAGTCCATGGGGGCCAGGTTGGAGATCGTCAAACGGCAGGTGAGATATCGTTGTGTCGTAGTTGTTTCGAGAAATTTGGTTGATTCTACCACCTTCCCAGGGAAGCCTAACCACCTTCCTTGGTAAACAAGCAAGGCGGACCAACTCTGTAGTTTGAGAATCTATTTCATTGACTACCATTAAGATACATGGTGGACGTTCCCTAGTCCTGCTTGTGGAATGACACCAAACACCATATGCTCTGAGCCATAGAAAATCCAGCCCACATAGAAAGAACGCCAGCCCAGGGGTATTAACAAGTAACAAAAAAGCAAACGGCAAGGAGCATTTCATGTCTGGAAACTGTACATGCGCACTTCGCAATCTTCGCTGCCTGTAGCGAAACGGCTGTCGCCAAGGCCGATGCAGGTCACTGGCCCTGAATGTCCTGTAAATGTGCGCTCGCATTTGCCGGTCCTGGGATCCCAGATCTTGACCATGCGATCCTCAGCCCCCGAAACGATACGGAGGGTGTCGGCCGCTAAAGCCCACACTCCTTCCAGGTGACCAAAGAATGTACGCAAGCACCTTCCGGACGATGTCTCCCACAGCCGAATGGTCGAGTCAAGAGCGCTGGTTACTATGTAACGTGGTGGTGAAGGACGTCCATCGTTGAAAGCTGGGCCAAAAGCAGAAGAGGGAGTATCTGAGGTATGAGCATCGAATCCAGGCATGGCCTGTGGAGAAGCAGCTGGACTGGCGCCGGAGGTGACGCTAACGTTATCATTCTCGCATTCGACATCATGATCTTCAAATTCAAATTCCCTGGGAAGTGGAACAACCTGCTGCACCTGACCAACATGCCCGTGAAATGTTCTAATGCATGACTTGGTATCCAAATCCCAGAGTTTGACGGTGCAGTCGTCGGAGGCAGAAAATACTGTTCGAGAGGCCGAGTCCACTCTGACCGCATTGACCCAGTCAGTGTGCCCCCGCAGAAGACAAGTTGACTTATCCTCAAAATTCCAGATCTTCACGGTCTTGTCTACAGACCCAGATGCAAGGATAGTCGCGTCGAAATGCAGGCCGACTACACCCCCACGATGACCGGAGTAGGTAGATATGCATTCGCCTGTCCGCCAATTCCACACCTTGAGAGTATGATCCATGCTGCCACTAATCAATTTCGTGTCGTCGAATTGAAGACAGCGAATGCCGGATTGGTGTCCCTTGAGGGTGCGAAGCTCCTCGCCTGTTTCCGTGTCCCAGATTTTGATGGTAGCATCATAGGACCCAGTAGCCAGGATATTGTCCTCGAATTGCAAACACATAATGCCATTACTGTGTCCCTTGAACACTCTGATCGAGCACCGCCCATACTTCCAGTTTGTGCCCACTTTGAAGCGATCTTTGTACACTTCCTTCCACGGTCTGTACCGTGTTTTAAAGTAGTCCTCATTTTGCGCTGATTGAGAAACAATCGATGTGCACTGACGTTTTACCATGGCCGTGTCTTCGCTATCCGATTCAGGTTTTCGCTTGGATCCTGATGCTGCAGTGTCGGTAGTGGTCGAATTGCTTTCGGTTTCCGCTGGCTGCTCGCTGACATCCCATGTAGCTGCACGGCGTTCGATTTCGCGCTTAGATTCACGCAACCTTTTACGGTCGAGAAGAGGAAGGCCCCAACCACATTTCTTGCACTTGCGATGAATATGCTGTTCACACATTCGGTGCCAAACTACATCATCATCGGCCAACGCTCTCCAACGTCTGGAGACCTGTGCGGCTTTGCAGAGAGAGGTGGTGTCCAAGTAGCATAGAATTTTGAAGGAGATTTCTGGAGGGAGAGCTGTGAGGAAGTCGATACGAATCAAATCGCGGACTGTTGCGGAGATGAAAGACAGTTGCGGAAAGCAACACTGAGCCATTATTCCCTGCAGGATAAGTTTTCGGTGCTTCGCCGGGGCCGCAGAAAAAATCGACCAAGCATGCGCGATGCCTTGCTGATCACTCTGTGGTAGTGTTTCTAATTCCTTTGCAATCTGTCAGACTTAGACACTTGACAAGGATGGTGCACTTGAATGTTGGAAGCAAAAGCTTACCCGTTGTAACTTGTCCATTGTTGGTTCGTCAGCCTGTCGCCTGCACTTCAGATCTGGTCGGTGACGATAACAGTATTTGGAATTCGCACTGCTGATTTCTACCCTCTGTCCAGTCTGCGAACCAAGAGGAGCGTATTGTTCGGGGATATGCCTGGCGAGAAATGGTGCGACGTTTTTGCCAGCCAGCTTCTCGGGTATTGGTTTTTGGGTGTTGAAACTGTGGGGCTTGTCCTGGGTAGATTCGGGCTCCGTTTCAACATCTTCGATGATCTCAGATGGGCCAAACATAGATGCAAAGGAAGAATCTCCTGGGAGATTCAGCGCCTTCCCTTCCGAGGCAGACTCATTTTTCAAAGTCGAGGTAGAGAATCCGTGACCATCGCGAAACGACAGTTCATGGGCATCCATAGCGGCACTCAACCACTCATTAGGTATATTTCGAGTCGCGTCAACGGTCTTTCGCGAACGCCACAAAGATTTAACAGATGAAAATTGCAGCAGCGAGGATCACTCGTAAGGTCAATCGAAGTGAGAAAAACGAGGAGGTAGGGTGTACGACCAATGTGGCGACCGTCGGAGGGGATGTGGTGTCTTGAGGTGAGTACCCGGGAAGGCGGTGGTAACCGATAAGTAGATAAGGAAGAAAAAGTGTCGAGGTTACTTCGAAAACGCGAGAGCTTGGTTTATAAACTGGAGGGGGTAGTAATACGTAGAATTTGCAGAGACGGTGGAATCTTGTGCCTGTCCTGACCAGAGTGATTCATTCCAGAGACATGAGTATCGAAGTGCCTGAATCACGCAAGAGCAGCTGCAAGTCTCGTGCTGCGGCCGCATTTTGCGGGTGGTGAGCACGTGATTCGAGATCGATGGCGCCATCGCCGCCCCCCGTCGCATCAGGTCTCACCAGCGTTCTTCGTCCCGCATTCCATTCTGATGGCGTGAACTGTGATCCTGCACCACAATCATCAATCTTGCAGTGGTCCACTTTGACTACCTTAGGCGCTTATCTAGCTCAGTGCATTGTCCAATCATTGAGTCCAGTGGCATCAAACATCGCCATTTGTAGGACGGATTGCGGATCTTCCATGTTAGGTCGAAATGCGGACTCCTCTAGAGTCTTTAATTTCTGACTTCTACTACTGATTGTGGGCGGTCTGCGGGTCTGGGCCTCTGGGGTACATAGGGATGGCCATATGGAGTACGGAGTAGATAGATACTGTTTCTCGATGTCGTTCTTTGCTACGGAACACACTCCGGTACGGAGTCTTCTTAACTCTGCTACCAAGCAATCTGACATCGACATCAGTTCTAACGCACCCTTCGCTAGATGGGAAAGCTCAGGATACCCGTCAATTTCCGTTCAGGCTACGATGGATCTACGGAGGGCTGTCTTGAATACGTGCTTCTGGTTTCAGGCAGAACAGCCAGGAGCAGCTCCATACCCTCATCTGGTCCGCTTTGGCAACCACTGCTAGGCCAAGGTCAGGGGAGGCCGTTGTGAGGCACAGTGGCTGCAGTAGCAGTCTCACAATTATAACTCCAAGCCACGCACAACGGCCGGTTCTCACCCGCGTCAGTGTTGGAACCATCCTCGGAAAGACGCAGACGCGAACCCGGTCCAGTCCTGCCGGCCGTCAGTTCGGAAATGAAGGCACGAACAGGTCAATCAGAACGTCAGCTGAGGCAGGACGTAAGAGTACTATGCGATCTTCAAACCGCTAGCCATTCCATTTAATTGGTTCATACTTCAATATTCTAGCTGATTTTTTATATCTGGTCCATATCCTTGCGCTTTCATGCATTAGTCTCGGTGACTTTCTAACGCGTTGTTAATTGGACATTGGGATCATCATAAGCAGAAAACATAGGCATCTAAGCTAATGTCGAGGTCCAGGTGTGCTGAAGCCTGGGTAGGGAGAAATATACAAAGTAGATGAGATCATGTGACCAATATCACATGATGCTATAATCCAAACCTACAGTCTAAGTTTAAGGGAGATGGCGATGTCGACATACATCATTGTGAAACATCTTGTGTCATCTCAGCCGGGTATTTTGACTTCTAGTTTATCAATAGATGGTCAGCAAGCATACGTACTGTCCCGATAGGCTCTAGGAGGAACTGTCCTTGTATCCACACCGCCTGTTGACCTGTTGATCTAGGTCCTAGGCCTCTCAGACCCAGACCAAACGTTCTCGTTCTCCGGTCACTCCGTTGGTACCCTGAACATGGCATGTATGCTATGAGCATGGCTTGTTACGATTGACTACAACAGGTAGATATTCTTTTTGGCGAAGGCTGGATCGGTCTCCAAAGATCAGTTTCTGTCGCAATTCTCAGGAATCTTCGCATCAGATTCAGCAGCTCCTGTTCTACTCCTAAGTCGCTAAGCGGTGTTCTGGTACTTTTGCTTCTGGCTCAGTCTACCTACCTGAACTTCCGTTATTTTTTGATAGATATTGCTTTTGGAGAGAGAAATTTTCTCCCTGTCCAAAAAGCGAGTCATAGTCAAACTAAAACGTCACTTGAGTCTCAACAGGTAAGGAGGCGGACAGAAGGCGGCAGAACATCACCTCATTTTCCTACATGAGGTGACTGTGAACTAAAATCACGCATTCCCGGGGATCCCTTCCTGGTCGTACTGATCAGCGCAGACCTGGACTTGCGGAATAGCGCGGCTGAAGATCAGCCCCCTGTGCGTTATTATCGAGTGCTTGGTGTCATCGAAAGCATGTCGTCCTCCGAATCCTCGTCAGCATCCGGAAGTGGACGTCCTGATGCAGGGCAAATGCCGAGCCAGGAGCAGGAGATGCCTCGGCTCGATACTCTTATCTCACATCTTGTTGCAGCCAAACGATCCTTATCATCCATTAATCATGTGTGGCGAGCCAATGAAATTGTCACAGCCGCTCGTGCTGCATTAGAAGAATGTGTGGTCGTGTCTGCGAGGACGGGCTTTCTCCGGCGCGGGCTTAACAATCAACTGCGGCTCTTGTATAGTGTTCGGACTGAAGTGGAAGAGATATCCCTTCGTGGACGCTCGGAGTTTGCGAATGTGTTGAAGGACCTCGACGACGCGGATACGCGACTGAGACGCACCTTAGAGCTTCTTCGGGAAACAATTGTCCACCCTGCGTTTCGTCCTGAAGGAGAAGATCCCAAAAGTCTGCATGACTTTGTCGACGAGCGTGGTGTAGAGGAGCTTCATGCAGCTTTAAAGAGCTCAATAGATCGCACCACTGCGGCACAAACGCAGCTGGACTCGTCCAACCATGCCTTTGATGACGAGCTCTTGTCTATCAAGGAGGCTCTGGGAACGTATAGGGCCGCTGCGAAACTAGCCTCGTCGCGTTCCTCATCGTCTCCATCTTCATCGTCGGCATCCAATTCGAGCCTGCCCTCCATGTCATCCATGCCGTCTATGTTGCATTCGCTGGAAATGCATGCACAAGAAATGGCGAACCTACTGGAATCTCTAGTGCGGCATTTCGATCTCTGCGTAACTGCTGTCAAACATACCGAAGGGGGTGGAGCCGCAGCAAAGTCTATCACAGGTGATATGCCCGTTGGCGTACCTGTCACCGGCCGCATGGGCTCAAATATTGAAGAAGATATAAACGCCAATCTAAATGCACCATTGGACCCACTAAGCAATTCCGAATACCAAGAAATGGTGAATGTCCTGTTCAAGGATGCAGCTGAAGCGGAAGATGTTGTGATGGAGATCCAAGATAGGATAGGTGAGATGGAATCCGTCCTGGAAAACGTGTTGGGTCAACGAGACGCTCTTCGCTCCATCTACAACGCCACAACGGATATTTACCAGCATCTTTCTTCTCTTGGGTCAACGCGCTTGCCGGGCTATATCGCCCAGGCACACAATTTCACGCGAGTGTGGCACGAAGAGAATGATCGTATAAGCGGTGGCTTGGCAGATCTTTCTGATTTGAACTCACTGTACGATGGCTTTCTTGACGCTTATGATGGTCTGATTGTCGAGGTAGCCCGTCGAAAGCATGTGCGGCAACGTGTCGAGAAGGTCCTCCGTGATGCCAGGCACAAGTTGGATCAACTTTATGAGGAAGACGTCACTGCCCGCGAGACATTCCGGGTTGAAAAAGGGGACTATCTGCCATCCGACATATGGCCCGAAATAGGCCGGGAGCCCATGCGAATTGAATTTCGACGGATATCGGGTGCCAACGTCCAGGCCGTCAATCTACAGAGCCCCGATGAACAAGACGCTATCACAAGTGAACAAGGGGCAGCAAATCGCCCTGCACCAGTGGAAAGCACTGATGGAGAGGAGATTATTCCTGACCTGCCTAGGGACCTCGTGGAGCAGGCTTTCGCTCGGCTCAAGGCTAGGGTTAAAACTGCAACATGATGCGACTCACCCCTTGAGTGATAGAACCGAGGGAGACTCAACTTCACGCTTGACACCACACCGAATTTCTGTCCCAGCTGCATCATGACCTATGTCTCATTACGAGCATATTGGGTGGTAGGATAGATTTTTCCAAGTTGTTCATTCAAACCTGGATGTTGACGTTGAGTAATAAGGTGGCCTATATGATGAAGTCAGAAGAGGTTAAACCTCACCCGAGGATTGGTTCGAGCCCTTTACTTGTAAAACAACCCCATTGTTGACGCATACTCCATGTTCTCTCTGAGAATCTGGACGTAAGCGCGTTGCGGGAGTCAAGTATAGGAATGAACCGACATGAGGATCAAAGAGAGCTCTGATGGGTCAACCAAACTCTATTTTATGCCATTTTTTATCAAATATCATCTGAGGGAGTGAATCCTATTGAGTTGAACCATATTCGCCTATCCGCTCTTTCTATATTGACTTGTGTATTCAAAATCCCATATATATGCATGCATCCAACCGTTACTTCATGAGAGTGTTCCATCATAGAATCCATAAACAACAAATTTCCCTGAGAAGCCATGGCAGTATCCACAAATCTTTCTTTGAATGCAAATGACTCGCTCATTTCTTCTTCCTAGACGATGAAGTGACGAGTCGTTTTTTGAGATGCTTCGGCATCTTGTTTGCGCGTTGCTGACGCTTTTCCTCCTTAACCTTTTGCTTATGCTCACGTTTAGAGTCCTTGTCCTCAAACCGTTTACCACGCGGTTGCTTTGGCGCAAACGGGTCTTCTCCGTCAGGCCCCTCCTCCGAGTCAGATGCAGAGTCTGCAACTGATACACCGCCACTGACATCTGACTCTTGATCATCTTCTCCGTCCGGGATGTTGTTCGGGGCTTGTTTGCCACCTGCAAGGAGACCACGGTAGACGAGGTCCGACCCTTCGCCCGCTTGAACCTTTTCGGCGTCACGCTCAAAGTCGTACACCTGCTCTAATGTTTGAGGGATAAATTGCTGACGGAAAACGGCGGT